TCCTGTTGGTGATTACCCATCAACATGTTATTGCATACAACACAGAGGATGGGTTTAGTCTTGTCATTCCTCTCCCGAGATACCTATTGCAATACAACCATCACTAGTACTACACCACCACGAGTAGTAGTAGCATATCACCCTCAAGGTTTCCATGATACTACCGGCTCCTGCATGACTAATGACCAGGTCAGCTTGTTGGATATCATCATAGATACCTGCACCACATGCATTATGATGATGATGTTACTTGTGCTGCCGACAACACTACCTTCTGGCTTAAGTGAATACCCACTGAGAGTAATACCATCTACTCTACCAACTTTCGAGGCTTCCTCTAATATCTTGAGAGTATCAATGGAAGCGTTACCGTATTGGATGAGCACCTTCGTGGTGCCAAGCTTATTGTGCAAGAGGTCGAGGAAACTCCTTTGGCAGACACGCTGTACAAGAGAGTCGAACCTAGTCGTACCAACGGTAACAAATACTCGAGATGTTAGCGGCGGCAACGGTGGAGGGTCCATAAGGGAGCGAGGGATAATGAGAACTACAAGAATATACAAAGATATGAGGAAGGGTAAAGCAAGAGTGTATGGTGGTTGGGACGGAAGACTACTCAGTGTATAACTATTATCAATGATGCTTATAAGAAGGATAGGATGTACATGGTAGTCTGTGGTAGGCGATAGGATGCCGACTGAGTGTTGGTAGTGAATGCCAGCTTCTGGAGGGCTCCAGCGAGGACTGGGCTCCATAGGGAATCTACTGGTAATGTGGCGATCCTGTAATAATGGAGTATTGATAAATGGTGAACGACTACACTCTCTTACGCTTCACTTAGCGTCTTGCCGTCCTCCTCAAGGGCCTGCTTAACAGTATCAGGAATAAGAGTTGCTCTTCCTTGCTGAACAAGAGCTAGACCAGTAACTATGTCACGGACCTTAGGCCACCATATTGGCCCACATACACACACTGAGTATAGACGTCTACCACAACCATTAGGGAACTCTAGTCGAATGTATCTATTACGATAAATCCCTATGTATCTACAAGGATACACCTACTTCACCATCACCGGCTGATGTCTATGCATTTCCAATACTTTAGGAGTGTGCAACGAAGGGTTACCACGATTGAGATTACCAATACGAGGAATGCTGGCCTAAAAGGAGCAGATAATATGTGATAGGGAGGGTAAGCTTACATAAAGGCTGCCGGAATCCAAGAATGAGAAATAGTCAACTCCATTTAGGGAGTATGTAGGATATACTCTTCGCCCGAAGTTACGATCCCAGGGTGAATACCTGTGAACAGTAGTACTGCAAATGTTTTTGTTGTTGAGAGTATTACATAAATCCCACTACATCTACCAGTCTTGGCTCCTTGAGTTTTATGAATAGCTTTGGTCTTGGCTCCCAACCGGTCATGTCCTCTGACCCATCATCATCACTACCCTCATCACCAAGCCACATAGGGGTATTATCGGGGTCTGGTAAGAATGTACTAGTGTCTACATCATCATGGACCTCTGGTATAGTATCCTCATACAGTGACTGTAGTTGTGTACCAGTTAGTGGTATATCTTTACATGTCACAGCCTCAAACACTCCTGAACATGATGATGATGATGACGCGCCCCCTCCCACTACGCCGACTACCTCCCTTCCTCCTGTCATTGTATTGGGTATCCGGTGATATAATATGATCGAATCCAACTATATCAGGCCTTAGTAGTGGCTTCCATGATGGTATGACTATCTTATCATCTTCATCAGTTGATCGCGTTTGTCTATGATGAGAGTTCCTCCCCCCTCCTAGGGTCATATAAGCTAACCCAGAGTCGGCTGCTAGGGCGAAGTGTGCCCTAACACCATCATGATCAGAACTCCAATAAAACTCAGTCGCTGATGTTGCTGTAGGACTAATCGGGGGAGGACCGTTAGATGATGCTGTATGATCTTCAACATGATGCGACGTCATCACGCCCTTAAGAGTTCAAAAAACTATACCCAAATATTCGACTGGGGAGGTTATATCTTAATGGTAATGACTGAAGACTCAACACAACATAGAGTATCATCATTAGCACACCTTATCAGAGTCATTACTATGGGCCGAGGTGCTGTAGTAGGCAGCATGATATAGATGGCAGCAGTAGTAGTAGTAGAGTCATTGTCAAGTATTAATTCCAACATCATGCTATCATCTATGTTCAGCAGCCTCGTTGATAATGACAACTAACGCTAAATATAAAGTGTAATACTGATAGAGTATAGCCAGAAGTAGTGATGTTATACCATCTACTACTATTGGCAATACGCTACTTGTATTTACAAGGTAAGAAGGCCTATCATTACCAATCAGTAAAAGGATCAGCAGCAGCAGGTACCGATGGTGGTAACTCAGTAGACTCAGGAATATCCTAATATGCCAATGATATTCCTCAGGACAATAGTGATACTCACCTCATAGTTGCTAATGTCCTTCTCATCTTTCAACTGTGGCTTATATGGTGCTGGTATCTCCTTACGAACTAGCTGATCCCAGGCAATGCTTGCGAACCTAAGGATTCATCATTATGCTGCTGGGCCATCATAGCCTACTACCATTTATGCTTCTTGATATCATCAGCACCGTTCTGGAGATTACCATACCTTTTGGAAAGGTCAGCAGTGAGTAGTTTCTTTACTAGTCCTAATAGGAAACGTAAGGACACATCATGTTGAGAAATCTAACCTTTAGCATTCTTATCGAAGTACTTGGGGAAGTACATTTTGCCAGCCAATATCTTCTGATAGATGCCCATAGGCTCCTCATCACAGAAAGGTGGCTGCCCAACAATCATCTCATATATAAGCACCTACATCCTATACTGATACTCGGAGAGGTATTCCTACTATAACTACCCCAAGAGTCCACCAATCAACAGGTTTGCCATGCCCTTTATTTAACAATACCTCTGGTGCAATGTATTCTGGAGTACCACATAAGGTGTATGTGCGGGCACCAGGCTCGATTATCTACAATAATGCAAAGAAGATGTGTTTTAATGATGTTGAACAGCAATGACCTTAGCGAATCCAAAATCGGTGAGCTTGCTATATCCATCCCCACTCAAAAGAATGTTCTCTGGTTTCTGAGATATCACCATCATCATCTTACTACTACTACCCTACTATTTGTTCCCCCATTATTATTACCAAATCCCTATGTATAATATTCTTGCCATGTATGTATTCGAAGGTAGCAGCTATCTGTGCAGCATAGAACTTAGATTGCTCATCAGTAAACTTCCTGGCACGTCGTAAATGAGTAAATAGTTCCCCTAAGACGGCGGCCTATGGCAATCTACAATAATAATAGTGACATTACCTCCATTAACGACTTCCATCACAATGTAGACAAATCTAGTGTCTTTGAATGATCCCCGCATATTGACTATGAAGGGATGATTCAATTGACCCAGGAGGTTACGTTCCGCGTTGATATGGTCGACTAATAATAATAAGATGATATCCATTCTATAACTATCTCCTGAGCCTCCTCCTGCTGATTACCTTGCCTTAGCTTCAATATCTCATGTTTCTTCATGAACTTAACGGCATAGTGTTGTCCATCACCTTTATGCTTAGCGTACTTTACTCTACCAAAACTCCCTGTTCCTAGAGTACGGACGAAATAGAAGTCATCTAGATTCATTTTACTGGTCATGAGGGATAATATTATGACCAATAAAGAGCTCTACAGGCTTCACTCATCATCCCAAAAGTAATAATAATTCCAGAGTAGACAAGCACGAGACGGGACAAGTTGGCACGAGACGGCGTGTAACTGCTCACGATGTTGTCTCAGTGGCCTCCTGCACACAATATCATCTATAGTAACAACAACACAGGCTAAGCACTACTCCATACTTCTAATGGCTATTGTTTATACATAGTGGTATACTCTATGGCTAGGGCACACTTAGTGTTCTGCAATATGACGACCGCATCTGGAAAAGTGTGTACGTTTCGGGCATTGAGGCGGGCGAGTGGCGACTCTTATTTACGTGATGTTCAATTGTGTGTCACCCCCTATATCGTGCTATGGTGGCATCTCAAGGACGTTAATTGTTGCTTCAATTGGGGTCAACGTTGTGGGAGGGCTTATTACCACAAGCAAGCCACAAGTGATAACCTTATTTCCAGGATTGTCTTACTTTAATTTGTCCCTACTGCCGGCCACCACCATCAGCTACTACCCCTCAGCTATATACTGGATTGTGATCGGTGTCGCCAATAACGTTAATAACACGCCACAATGTCACAATACATAAGGTTTTCTGGTGATGACTTGAAGGTTTTTGAGGCGGAGATATTGTATCGTGCCAAGACGATAGTATCTCGATCAAGCTCTCGTGACTCAGTAGCAGCGAGAGGTCAAGCATTTGATGATGTGGCCAGTGAGCTTCGTAAGGCTAATGGTAATGTGTTCCGTACGCCTAAACAAGTGAGGACTAAATGGGCATCAACAAGGCAAAAGATGATGACCTACTACAAGACGGGTAAGCTACCACAATCTAAGTCTGAGGCGGAGTTTGTACGTAATATGGCTGAGAGCTTGCGATCCTTATTGGAGCAACCACAGGCCATAAGCGACTCTACTAGTACTACAGCTACATCATCAGCATCCAGTGCTTCCCCTTCTGGAGGTATTGCTATCACCTCCTCCTCTTCTATTAATCCTCATATATGTTTTACGAGTGTATGTCATGCTGCCACCTTTCCAGAAGGAGAAGAAGAAGGCCCTTGCATAAGTTCATCTCGACCACCACTACCATCATCATCGACCTTTACTGCTGGTCAACACTATGGTGTACATGATACTGCTATAGCCCCTATTACTCTTGAATCATCATCATATCCTTATTGTGATATTGAGGAGGAGGATAATAACAGAAGGCGGAGAAGGCGGCAACAATCTCGAGAGGGATGTCCTATTGATGATGATGAGCAGCAGCAGCAGCATCGTGAGCATGTTAGTGGTGTACTGGTTAGTAAGTTGAGAAGATGTTGACAACGACTAAGGGCATGTCATTATTCATCGATAATAAGTGTCAGAAAATGACACTATTGATAGAGCTATCATTTGCTACGTTACTTTTGTTGATCCTATGTAATATATCATAATTATCTAACCATGACTACCACTTGGTATCATAATACTATACTTACGATACTTTCCTCCAATAGTCAGTAGTTGGTAGTGTGGTCAAATAATTATAAGAGAATAAGGCTAATGCTGATGAGTATCAGTGAATGACGACGATCACTACTGATGGATATCAATCCAGCTCATTTATCTTGGTAGTTGCTTGCACCATCGAACGTTATTATTGCCTTGTAATCAACATCTTCGCTGTAAAATTATATACTCTTTCTCCGGACGATCTGTGATACTACTTTGTTGTAGTTCAGTAATGGGATGTGTATACTGCTTCTGCTCTACTACCCATACTATTCACCGAAGGCTTCATCATCGCCATTCCTAGTAGTTTCCCAGAGTAGCAGTAGGCTTTGGATTGGTCAACTTATTTCTCGTCGATGGCGTCCCCAAAGTAGATAGGTATAGGAGTATGATTTATCCCCCTCCCCCTCTTATCGACATTGCAGAGCTCCCAAATGAGTTAATCCTACTACTGTAAGGTATGATATGTCTCTGATCTATACGAAGAGAGAATATTCGTATAAATCGTCATGGTAGCATCGGACAACGAAGTGGTGATAATAGGAGCTCATCGTTGTCTCTAAGCTGTACCCGTATACAGCAGTGCTATATTGCTATTCGTTTCCGATCTAAGCCTATCATCGATCTCCTCTCTGGAGAGACCGTAGCATGTCTGATGAAGGAAGGCTATGATGAAGGATGTCGACTTGAGAGCAGTACCAACTTTTTCTCAGACTCGAGCCCCTCTCCGACCCGAAGCCTCGATCACTTACGACCCCCACTCCTGCTCATTGCGATACTTGGATGAGGTACGTATCAGTTGTTGGGCTATCGAACCGTCATTTGGTCGAGAGTGTCTCAGCCTTCCGACACATGCTCAACAACATGTTAATCGAGCCACTACTTTTCTGCAGCACTGCTCAATGGTATCAGGGATAAGCAACGTCGGCTATAGTTCTATCGTAATCACAGAGGCATGTCAATTCATCAACATTTTCCACCTCGTTCAATATGTACCTGTGTGTCAATATCCACGTGGTACATACTGATGAAACTGCCGACTCCAATGACGAATCATGATTGGGGAGTGCTACGTTTTCTCTGACTCAGGATACATTGCCTCCTTACTCATGGCTAGACCTCGTCGTGGTGGACGTCGTACAGGCAACAAGAGATGTGGACCTGGGTCTAGACTGCCTACCACAGGCCCCGATAACTCTACCGTCAACCCGGTGGATACATCATCATCATCATCATCATCATCAACTACTGTTGCTCTTGCTGATAGGATGACAAGGACCAGTCTGAAAGTGTTATCAACTAATCATACGTGGAGGTTCAGAAGTCTAGTCAGCCATCATGCTGAGGCAGAGACACGTCCCTGCTCCACCTCCCCCTCTGAGGATAGACGTCATCGTGTACGTACAAGGAGTGAACTAACCGGGGCTGATGATAATGATGATGACCACGACGCTAGTCATAGCCAGAAAGCAGCAATGGTAATCATAGGCGTGCACTTGAACTTCTATGTGAGTTTGATTGGTTTTATGTCAGGACCATTCGGAATCCCCAGTACATGTGACACATGACTGTACGGTACAGTCAGTACATCAGCCTCTTGGCAAGCGCCCTAGGCTGATGGCTACTCAATCGTCTCACTTGATCGCTACTCTCCCATCCTCCTCCTCCTTGATACTACAGAATGATGCTGATCATAATCATGAAGATGGTGATGCCAAGGTAGGTCTGGGGGAGTACATCATCGTATGTAGCAGCACGGCTAGCCACTTATCATCCAGGTGAGGGCTCGGTGTAAGCCTCCCTCTGGCTGGGCATGTCCGGGTGATGAGGAACCCCTGTCCTTCTGCAGCGATGAGGGCTGCTTGAGTGCAGAGCAGCAGGGCGCTAACTACCCCGTGGAAGGCGTCAACATCACACCTCCAATCTCACTCCAACTTCCTATTCCATACAGCGGACCACTTTGTTCTGTACAAGTGCAGCAGTATCCGAATGAGGACGCCAAGTTGGCAGCGAATCTAGGTAGTGAACAGAGTATCCGTGGTCTCCCAGCTCCTCAAGTGTTCGAACTATCATCAAAAGAGTGCCCAGAGAGGAAGGGAGGTATAGCAGGGCTGTGGCGATCCATCGGCTGGGAGGTCGGTGGCCAGTCATGAATTGTTGTAGGATTGTTTGATAATCAGGTTGAGCTTCACTATGATAGTGAGAGCGCTAAAGTGTGGGGTAGATGGGGTCCAGTGCAGGCCTTGACAGCTCGTCTTGATGGTGAGTAGATTATCGACAATCCTTACCAGAGCGTGCTCTTCCATAGGTAATCGATTGGTAGATGGTATGCTAGAGTTGGGAAGTATTCGGCTGAGTGATGCAGTTGTTGATCTTGATGCTGGCACCATAAGCTGGGGGACGGGAGAGGTATGTGCTGGCTATTTTCATACTCCTCTTGTATGAGTATCTCTAAGTAGAAATGGACAAGACTTACATCGAAGTGAGCTATGAGAGGAGAATTGAAGCTGTACAGCGTGTATATCATCGTGCATGTTGGATGCAAGTCCCAGACCAAAATTCATTATTCAGGGAGTATGTACTGTTGTGTTTGTTACTCCGAGGTTGCGGGATTAGCTAGATTATATGTTCGGCTCGATAAGATGCTTTAGGAAGCCATTAATTGGCATCGCATTGCTTTCCAAAAACTCTAACTCAAAATATAGTGTTCGAATGAAATGATACATACTCAGAAATTATCATCCTCAACAACACCTCTGAGGACAATATGTATGAAAAGATCTGTAGAAGACGCATGCAACATCAACCACCATAATGGAATCTCCTCACTCAGATGAATACCATGGACAATAGGAACCATATGGGAGGCACCTATTTCTGATAGTAGCTCTGATACTTGACAACGAGGGTCACTCGAGTATAGCAAAACTGATGATTTCGACTCGGGATGATACAACTTCAACGGCACGCGAGATATATCGTCAACCGTGCTCGACTGAGCGTTCCGCATCTCCTTCGAGTCAATACATGCATAGATTAAGTAAGGATCTCGGCGGCGTAGACGCTGTACATCAGCTGTAAGCATGAGGCCGAATGCTGTCGGGGCATGACGAGGCAATTGTATAGAAATTCCGGCCTTCATTTGGTTGAAATGTAGACTCGAGAATTCATCCAGTGTCTGCAAGGGCTGTAACCATATCATAACACTCCGTTACTGCTCACCTTGAACTCTGGGATACTCTGTGGTGATGGATAATACATGAAATGGACGGTTATCTTCCATGGCATTGATGCGGGTACTCCCTCTCGTACTAAGGGACCATGGAGATCGAATAGGACTCCCAAGGGTGTTGTCCAGTTGAGAGAGGTGCACTCGCTCCCATTCACACGGACATCGAACCACAGTGGGCAGTCGGTATCGCTGAGAGCAGCAGTTATGTTGGTCAATGAGCCGTGTGTACTCACCAGGTTGAGGCCGCCCCTAGTAGGGGTGGAATGAACGCTCTAAAGTGTTCCCGAACCGCTGTGTATAAGTCAACGAGGTATTCAGTTCGGAGAGGATGGCAAAAAAGAGGAGGAGGATGCTGATGGGCAGTAACCTCGTCCTCGGACATCCCTATCTCAATCAGAAGGCGTCCACCAGATATCAACTCTCGACAATCCGGATCAGTAAGGTGCTCTAGAGTGGGACTGGCGGCCATCTCTTCTCTGGATGATGTAACACCGAGGTGGAGAGGAGGAGAGATGTCAAGGGACATTCTGGGACAACCTTCAAGTCAAGGAAACTATAGTGAGAGAGACTACTAACTCGAGGGTGGATAATGGTGGAAGCATACACATCAACATGAACGGTGGCTCATCATGAGCTACCTGCACCTCACGATGAAGTAGATCGTTAAGACATCGAGTGCTGACTGTTGATCTCGATAACCTTATTGTATCTACAACAAGCTAAGATAGGAGGTATTAAGTTGTAGTAGTAGGTTTACCCATGCCTATGTTTCAGCATATACATAGCTATGTATGTGGCAGGATCCTCAGGTCTATCTCTCGCTGCCTCATTGATGGCTGGTGCCAATACAGGCAGTACTCTCTTCCTCAGATAGCTACGTGGAGTGAGTTGCATTATCGATTCCTGCCGGTGTACAGGGGCCTTCATGTCCACTTCTTTATCAATACGGAGCTGAGGTAGACTGGTCACTGAGATGCAACAATGGCGAGTCCCCAAGGCAACCTGTGTAGTATGCCTAGCAATGGCCTCCTGGACTAGGTCTTTGAAATAGTTGGATTGGGTTGTGGCACGATAGGTGTCTACGGTAAGGCATATCCTCTCCTGCCCTCCGACTACTGGGGTATCTTTAACATCATCAATGACGATAACCATCATGAGTGCTCCTACTGGAGAGTACATCCATCACTGTAACCGATGTAGGATCTGCCGTTATGTAGATGTGCTGTATATTGGTGTCAGCTGGATTGATGAGTACCTCTCGTGGAGGAGGACGGGTATCACCTGGAAGGGCATCAACATGATGATTTGCCAAACATGACATGAGTACTACTGTCATCTGTTGTGCTCATCATCGGTCTCTCGATTATGCTTATTATACGGCCCTCTGGTAGCATCTCGTGTACTAGACCAGCATATACCTCGGAATATCCCCTATACTCAGTGGGTACGATGCTTTGTGGGGCTGAATCGACCTCCGCAGTAGTTGATGACTCCTTAACCACCAACTGAGTAGGCCTAACGTCATTGTAGTAGTGGCCCTAGAATACCTCAGTAGGTTGATGCTTATTGCGCCGAGGGAAGGCGAGTAGTGGTCCGCTGTGTTCGTTGCCAGTATGTATGGTTGTAATTAGGCCCATATGCGTAGGTCTAGGTCGTAGATCGAGCATCATATGCTCACCGGTACCATCCATGACTATCTTCCTAGTCTTGTATTTGCCACAGTACACTGGATGCTTTCCCTCAGTCAATAACTGTAACTCCTCCACCACAGAGGCTGCGTCCTCTGTCAAGAGGGATGTAGGATCATCATCATCATCCCCATCGATCGGCATGGTGTCTCGTAGGACTATAGCAAAGTCCCGTGCAGTATGTGCGAAGTCGATAATCATGTTGAGGAAGCTAGGGAGTAGGTTATAGAGGCCATACCTGGGTTAGTGAAGATGGTTCTCGATGACCTATAACCTCACTACCACTGTTACCTGAACATCCCGCTCCCCTTCGTTCCAGTACTCCCTGTATCCACACTGGAATCAGCATCATTCTGCCTAATATTGACTTTGCTTGGTAAGCCTAAACCCTTGCGCACGGGTAAAGGCAAGGAAAGGCATTTGATGATCTGATCGAATTCAGCCCTCAGCTTGGCACCAGGTGAGCTTTTCTTGCTAGTGAACTCCAGGAGTAACTCGTTAATGATATCCTCTCTGAAGGAATCCCTACACTCTCCACATCGAACCAGCTTTATCTTACTTCCCCTTGGTCTCTTCACCTCCATGTATTCCACCATCGCCCTCACCATCATCATTATGAGAGACTTCCTCCTCTTCCCCGTACCTCATGTTGAGATAGTCCATATATGTGATCAAGACGGTGTCAGTGCCATCAGGTTGAGGGTTCTTCTCCTCCTCTTTCACTGCTGCTGCTGCTGACTGTTCTTCATCTTGTGCCTTACATCAAGGTATCAAGACTCTTCCAAAAGTATCGACCACGACTGACATCATGTTGTGTGGGTTTATTCGGTGGGTGTATTGATGTCTCCGATACTGCTAGTACCCACTGAGCAGTATTGGGATCTACAGTACCCCATGCCATCGATGCTAACCATTTATTGACCTATGAGGATAGGCTGGATGGTCGGGTAGTATGCAACAAGCTGTTGACCATTAGGTCGGTAGTATAGCCTCTAGCCGAGGCAGGTCGATGCATCACAGACGGCACATCAACGTGGATTATTATACGACGGCCCTCCGACGTCTCATCCTTCTCGAGTATCTCCTCATCCAGGGCTTCTGCTGCTGCTACTGCTGCTGGCTCATCTGTTATCTTATTCTCTTCATCCTAATCAGAGGTAATGATTTGACGATGGCCTTGATACGTTACCTGAGGATCATGAGGTGTTGAGTCATCCTCAATAATGTCCGAGTTATGACTATCAGTCGGTGGGAGGGTAGTAGCCTTGGTAGTTGACATTTATTGCATTAACTCTGTCCTATTGAGCCCTTCCGCCCGACAACAAATTAACGTGACTTGTTGGTCTACAATGGTATACTATAATAGAAGATAGTACAAGTTATGAATAACAACTATGGATGATAGTGACACATGACGGTGATATTAATTATCCAACAACATATACCGATACTATTCTAAGGTACCCTCCAGCAGAACGAGTCCTCGGTAAGGGAAGTCCTCAGAGGCTGTAATGGGAGAGTCTCGGTAAGGAAGTCCACTCTGGTATACCTGTAGACATCATTCCACTTCTTCCTATATCCCTTGCCACACTTTCTGTCCCCCATGTTCCTATCCACAAATGGAGGATAGTATGGTGGTGCGTCACTGGCAACCGCTGGTTCCATTGTACAGTCGGAAGAATATCAAAAACAGAAAATATATCCAACACCAGCTGGTATTCATGGGGCAACCTGTGTCATACTCCAACAACACATGTTGGAAGATAAGATGATACGATTGTTGAGTAAATGGTACAAATGAGCATTGCTGACTAGTCAGCATTATCACCATCATTCAGTGACGTTATTATCATCAAGGACCACCAGACGACGGCAATGGTTCTCTTATCATTTTATTGAATACTTCATCCTTAAGGAAGACCAGATCCGAAGCAACCCTCGAGCCAACTTCTTCAAGCCAGTCATAACTAGTACACGGTAATGTATTAGCGTGACCTCTCCTACTCCTGCTACTTACTCCCTCTCATCTCGTCCAACTACAGCCAGAAGGACTAGCATCCCATCATCCTCACACTCGGACTGGGCAAAAGGTGTCACTCTAACAGCTGTCTTCTGGCCAGGACTGTATTCGCATTGCATTAGCAATGACGTCAGAGCAGATCCAAAGGCATTCTCCGTACACTGAGAGAAGCGTCAGTTTCTGCTGTTGAGTCGAGCGCGGAATAAATCGGCATCGGATATTATTACTTTGTATTCCATGTATATGTTAGCAGCAACAGCCCCAATAGTCTTGGATGACTCATCTGAAGAGGCCCTAGCTGCTGCTACTACCATACCATCTTCAGTAACTAATCTGAAGCCAGGCATATTGAGAAGGAGCAGCGATAAATACATGAGAGCATTACAGAACATTCCTCTTCGCATGGTCTGCCTCCTTATCGAGGGTTCGTGCCAAGGCATATGATAGCTCTCGGGAACGGAACATTCGAGGTGAAGGACCGAGCAAAAAAAACTACCGCTAAGAAGAACCAATGTTGGACACCCTGTTGAAGTAGAGCAATAACCCAATGATGAGGATCGTAAGAAACCGATGGAGTAACGTTGAGGGTTGGATGCACACTTATTGACGGTAGAAGCATCCTGTACAGAGACCGACGGATAGAAGCAGAGAAATGAGATCCTTTCGGCCTTGATCACAGTCCTCTTCTTCTTCTTCCTCCTCCTGCTGCTGGTCTCCACTACACTCTTCCAGATCTGACATCTTGAATGTTGCTGGAGCTATGGTGCTGGACACAGCACGATGATGACGCTGTAACCATTCCATGCATGGGACTAGCTGTAGAGGTACCTGCTGAAGGCAATGCCCGTCGATTGCAGTCACCCTAGGCACCCGTTAATGGTACCTGTCGTGATGTTGGTGTAGTACCTTTATGATGACCCGGATGAGATCATCAAAGTTAATCTCATCCCGGCAATAGTTGTGATGTATGGAATATAGTTTGCCATCTTGAAGCTGCTCGGTGTCATCTTTGGCAAGCTGTTGAGCATCATCACGTAGGTATATCTCCTCCAAAGAATCGTCACTATCCTCATCATCATCACTTCCATTCTCCTCTAACTCAGTTTCATCTAGTTCACACCTATCGAGTACCATAATTATCTCTACACATCCACACTCACCCTACCCCTCAGGTGCCTCTATAACAATAGCCAACCTGTTGAATACGAAGACATCAGTATCACTCAATGGTGTGAGGGTGGCCAAAGTATCAGCCAGTTGCATCCTGACTTGGTCTGGCTTTGTTAGATCCAACAACTTAGGTAGAGTCCTGAGTTAGACCTAAGACTAGCCCCCAACCTCCTATCCTCACCCTTCAATTCCGCGAGCCATTTCCCTAGCCGATAGACTGTCCAATACAGGTTTCACTTCCTTCTTGAGAAGAGCCTGTAGATGTCCTTCTAGTGATGCTCTGGAAGGCAAGGCTGCTATTGGCCATACGAGAGCCGGTCTCTGTAACAGCAATTGTTTGATTGCACCAGCAATGATATCAGCCCAGCGTAGGGGTATTATTGATATATTGATGGCTATGTTGTCATCATCTAGACTCTCTACTTTATGCCATACACCAGCTGGATGGAATAATACATCCCCTGGGGATAAAATAACCTCCTCGGCATCAGCAAAGTAACTAGATAGAGGAATTTGGATAATGAGTAAGGTAGTAATGTAACTACTCATCTGGAGGACGATATTCAGCATTGGCATCTTGCATTCTAGCTAGTTTCAGTTGCTGTTCATGGTTATACGATGTAGCAAAGTGTGGCGACCGACCCCTTATAGGGTAATCAGTCGATGCTGCCGCCTAAGCCAAGGCGTGCTGTAGAGTATAGTTATTCGTGTTCCTGTCCACTCTACCTTGAGACTCCATCTTTTCCGTCCACTGAGTTGGATAGTAAAGTTAGTTTGGAAATCAGTATGCCATTGAGTAGTATGCCCTTTACGACAGACAAAGGTCTCTATCTCACTTCGTGTAGTACGATCAGTAGCATGCTCTCCACATGCATTAGGTATTCCTAGACCCTCTGTTATTGATCTACACATAAGGTTAGTTAAGGGTTGAGGTGCAGGGAAGTACCTATCACCGTATGACGATACTGCACGTAGCAACATCCCTATACTACAGCTGAGCTCCTGCCTTTAATGCAGCCATCGCTGCTGATGGATCATGAAGTTCTATGCTATTAGCCGGTTCATCAGCGTATGGTCCAGTGGGTGTTAGCCAAGTATGTACCACCCCGCTAGGTGATGCCTGTAATATCTCTTCTACATCTAACCCAGCTAGATACTGTGAGCATATGTCATCTAATAGATCCCCTGTTGCACCATCTCTTAGAACTAGTGGACGGCTCTTCAAGTAGTGCTCTGTTATAAAACCATCTCTGATGTATCCACTACCCTTGAGGAAGGTCTGTAGTAGTTTCCCTCTCTTACAACATTCTTCCAATGATATTTCATCATCTTCAGGTGTAAGAGCATCGACCACTTTAACCCACGTGTCACTAGTACGAGCCTTCTTTTTGACAGTCCTATCACTTGAATCTGCTGTCAACAGTACATCATTCGACCTTTTCGAAGCCGCCGATGACATCCACCTAAGCTACCAACTAACCTGCATACTTCCTCTCCTACTATCATCAACGTAATAACACAACACAGTTCACTAATATCCTCTTCAGATATCAAACGCTCTTATCGAGATAATATTTCGTCGTGTGCTGCGAGTTAAATTTACTCCTCGTCTTCGGATTCGCTCTCGACGGTGGGCTGATATGCAGCAGTGAGCTCCTTGTAGAAAGTCTTACCGACATTAGCGCTCTTCTTAGCCTGCTCAGCACGGGCACGGATAGCAGCAACCTTCTGAGCATGAGCCTGAGTACCCTCCTGCTGGGCCTGAGCACGCAGCTTAGCACGATGAAGAGCACCAGGGTTAAGCTTGGCCATCATCTGGCGGTTCTTCAGGGCATTCTTCTTCTGGCCAACACGGCGAGCAGGAGCAAGAGCAGGACGGCAGACAGCCTGAACCTCCTCAGAGTTGATGATCTTAGCCACATCAGCATTAGTCATCAAAGGCCTAGGAAGCCTGTAACCAGACTTCAAGGCAGCACCGGACCTGTAGGAACCGAAGAGCTGCTGGAGACGGTCGAAGGCAGGCTGAGTCCAGATAATGAATCTGCCGAAAGTGCCACCAGGAGCAACCTGCAAGAGGTTGAGACGATCAACCTGGCAGAGCTCGATACCGGGGATGTTACGGAAGGCCTTGGTAAGACCATCATCCTCGGCATAGACGACAAGAGGACCACGACGCATGACATAACGACGGTTACGCATCTTACCGGCACCAGCACGGATCTTCTTAGAATCCTTAACCCTCTGGACGTCGGCACCTGCACCAAGGGCCTCAAGGACGGCAACGGCATCCTTAGTCTTCTGAACAGACTCAACACCCTCAGAGAGGACGAGAGGAAGCTCAGGTACCTCACAGGCCTCAAAGGGGCCTGAAAGACGGTAGGAGCACAGTTAGTGCTGGATGACGATCCAGAGAGATCGTACACTGATACGACAGGCCGAGCGGTATGAAATGAGTCAGAGAGTTTAGACCCATTCTCGAAAAGCTGAGTCAGCTTAGCTGACCGAGGTCATCAGCCTCGTCCTGAGTACCCATCCCAATCTCCAGTCCCATCGACCACGATCCGCGGAAACGCAAATCGAAATCATAGTACCACCACTAGTCATGCGATAAGTGAACACACAATAGGCCTTCGCTTTGCCATCGTACTACATGGACTTACTCGGTAGAACTCACTCTCCTCCTCTGTATATCTTCGACACGTTTCTCAAGGTCTTTCACCTAGGCTCACTCGCGGTTCGCCACTACCAACGTGCTCGGTAAGCAGATAATCACCTGCCGTAAGACTTCTCTTGCTTGTGCCAGCATGGGACCTTGCGTAGAGTCCATTATCAGCTGATGAGCGAGGACGGACTCGTAAGTTTGCCTTCTGAAGTGTTGTAGGACGCTGATCACCTGAATCGAGAGCTCTGCACTACCCCGCTAGTGGGCAGCGGCTTCGAGCCACCGGCTAGCAGAGCGCCTTGACCTTATACCCGTGGATAATTGAGTAATAACCATCATCGACTCACCTCGTCAAGTAGACTCACGACACCTTCAAGTGCTGTGTCTCTCAGTCCCGCATCAACGTCACTATATCTTTCCCTGTAAGGCAGTTTTAATTTTCTAGAGTCAGACATTTTAGAGGCGTTAACGCTGATCGGTTTCGAATGCTACAAATGTGATTCATCTTCGTTGAATGGCAGCTACATTGAAAAACTTTAACACCACTGAAATGATATAAACATCATCAAATGAACACAACGGTACCTCATTAGGTTAACTTATTACGCCGACGATCGAACTCATGCTGCGCCCACAAACGTATACATCTAATCTCCTCAGTGATCGGGATAACATCATCATTTTCAGCTCTAGGTAGCTCCGGGAAGTCGATAATAGAGGGCTGCACATTAACAAATATCTCCCAGTCTCGGGTGACCACTAGATTGTAAGGTCTTTCACCCACCACCACCGAGCATATCAATACTTTGGCAAGGAGAGTAGCGAAGCCCTCCTCAGTAAAAGATAACAGAACTGCGTGTAATCGGCAGAGACCAACACAAGTAGTTCCACCAGTGTTTGGCACAAACCTTGCTTGCCCAGGACAACCACCAAACACTCTAACGAACGAAGAACCAACGAAATGAACGCAAAGATCGGCATCTATTTCACCAGCAAAGCGAGCAGTGAACAACAACCTCCGTGGAGAAACCTCCTCCTCGGCGGCAGTCACATCCCTCAACTCCAGTATCTGTGCTAGACCACGCTCGTCCAGTATGCTCGACATTTGATTCCCGAACAAACCAAATGTTGGTCGTGATGTTGCCTCGTCGCGGGGAGAATCCAGTAGGCCAATTGATACCCCATCTACCACGAGGTTTCGCACATCAAGAGGAAGTGATGAAACATAGCACAATCGATGAGCGGTGTCGTTACTGGGGTTCGCCAAGATATCAGATGTCCCAGGGGAGTCATACAGTATATAGACGCTGAAGTCGCCTCTACCGGAGATGATGAAGATATTATTATCGGCAACAGCGACCCCTTCAATTTCCCATGGCAGCCGAATAGGTGCCAGGAGTTCGCGCTTGGAGATATGGAATCTTCTCAGTTCGCGAGTAAGTAAGTGCTGTGGCACAACGTAAAGCACCCCTCCAAAGACGCAGCTGCAATGTGCTATACGACTGTCGTTAAGAAAATATGGTACGACATCGGGGTTTTCGGGTGGGCCCTCCAAGCCCACTGTGAGATAAGGACCCGCACCAGGAAGATAATCGATCCTAGGACTTATCTCGGAGTTATAAATGGAGAAGCTCTCCCATCTAGTACTCTCGATCGAAAGATGTTGATTAACGCCTGGAAATTGTACAAAACCGTGAGACCTCCGAAGACCGGATGTGACGTCAGCTATCGTCAGCTCATTGGGAAGGTGACGGACTGGCATATAATCCCATACCTTGCCTTTCAGATCATCCACAAGGATGTTGGTTGTAGCTGATTCGTTGAATACCTTGAGCTCTAGCGTTAAAGAGTCTATGCACACAGGGCAAGCTCTCGCTCCTGCCGAACCCATTTGATCAGCTTTCTCTGTAAGCTCGAGCGGTGGCAGGTTCATCTCGGGTAAATTAGATGTGCCTGGAAAATACTTTGCTGGCGCTCGGAAAAAATTCGCTCGCCACAAAATATCATTTTGAATTGTGAGATTTTCGGGAGGGCAGACAGAAAATATATCCAACACCACCTGGTATTGATGGGGCAACCTGTGTCATACTCCAACAACACATGTTGGAAGATAAGATGATACGATTGTTGAGTAAATGGTACAAATGAGCATTGCTGACTAGTCAGCATTATCACCATCATTCAGTGGTATTATTATCATCAAGGACCACCAGACGACGGCAATGGTTCTCTTATCATTTTATTGAATACTTCATCTTTAAGGAAGACCAGATCCGTAGCAACCCTCGAGCCAACTTCTTCAAGCCAGTCATAACTAGTACACGGTAATGTATTGGCGTGACCTCTCCTACTCCTGCTACTTACTCCCTCTCATCTCGTCCAACTACAGCCAGAAGGACTAGCATCCCATCATCCTCACACTCGGACTGGGCAAAAGGAGTCACTCTAACAGCTGTCTTCTGGCCAGGACTGTATTCGCATTGCATTAGCAACGACGTCAGAGCAGATCCAAAGGCATTCTCCGTACACTGAGAGAAGCGTCAGTTTTTGCTGTTGAGTTGAACGCGGAATAAATCGGCATCGGATATTATTACTTTGTATTCCATGTATATGTTAGCAGCAACAGCCCCAATAGTCTTGGATGACTCATCTGAAGAGGCCCTAGCTGCTGCTACTACCATACAGGGTTGTTCGGGCTCGAAAGAAAAAATTCTTTCAAGCGGAAATTTCCCGAAATTTCGGGAAAAATAGAAATGGTCGAAATTTCCGGAATTTTCGGGCGAGGTCCTGGGTTCGATCCGCGGCTCCGCCAGTTTTCCATTCTTCGCCAATCCACGCGCGAGACCGGAGAGGGAACGTACGGAAGCCACAAACGACCCACTCCTCGAATGTTTATGCGCATTGCAAAGAACGACGCAACACAACTCGTGAGGTATCGATGAATATTGCTACAGGAAGAAGTGACACTAGGGAGCCACTGCTAGTGGCCCACTAGTATTGAAAAAGGGCGTTTCACGCAAGTGTGGGTGATTTCGGGACGTCCTTCCCACCTTTATCCTGAAAGTTGCTGATTAACGTGTGATGGTGTGGCAGACTGCCACCGGTAGTCGACCGCTCGCTCTGGGGGTGTCGGAAAGTTGTTGATTTGCTCTTTTCTTGCCAGGATATTACACTGTCGCGGTGCAAACTGCGGCAGTTTGAAACTGCCTACGGAACGTGTTTCCCTCGGAAATTTTCCGAGCTTCCCAGTTCTATGGTTCTCTAAGTTTTTCGAATTCTATGGTTGCTCTTTATTTCTCTTTTCCACCAATGTGGTGGCACGCATGAATGCACGCATACCCAGAGCCTATGGGTATGCGTGCATTGACCGGTATGGGCGCGTGACCTGTGGTCCATAGGTCTTAAGCTCTGAATGACGTATCCGCATACATCTCTACTAGGCCATCTTGGACTTGGACGATTCCTGGTTATGGTATCACCGTTTTGTACGAGAGTCAGTACTGGGTGATGACTCACTAAGTGACTCTCGCAGGAAAAAATCAAGAGTTACACCCACTCTATCTAGACGCTGGACACGCTCTCATTGCTCATATATAGACATAACGAAGCCATTGCCAGCCGATTGTGGAGGATTTCGATGGAGCGGGCGTCGGTTCTTAGTGCAGTGGTTTATAGAATCGTAAACGCCATGCTCAACCTACGGTAGGTAACCTACCCAGGGGCGCCACTATCGCGCTGCTGACGCGCCTATGGAATACCGCGCGCAGCGCGGAGCGAAACAATTCATATTGTGCCAAATTTCCGGAAATTTCAGGAAATTCCCACGGAAATTTCGAGGAAAGAATTTGACCCAATTCTTTCCCGATTTGGACAACCCTGCTACCATACCATCCTCAGTCACTAGTCTGAAGCCAGGCATATTGGGAAGGAGCAGCGATAAATACATGAGATCATTACAGAACGTTCCTCTTCGCATGGTCTGCCTCCTTATCAAGGGTTCGTGCCAAGGCATATGATAGCTCTCGGGAACGGAACATTCGAGGAGAAGGACCGAGCAAAAAAACTACCGTTAAGAAGAACCAATGTTGGACACCCTGTTGGAGTAGAGCAATAACCCAATGATGAGGATCGTAAGAAACCGATGGAGTAACGTTGAGGGTTGGATGCACACTTATTGACGGTAGAACCATCCTGTACAGAGACCGACGGATAGAAGCAGAGACATGAGATCCTTTCGGCCTTCGCCCTCCTGCTGCTGGTCTCCACTACACTCTTCCAGATCTGACATCTTGAAAGTTGCTGGAGCTATGGTGCTGGACACAGCACGATGATGACGCTGTAACCATTCCATGCATGGGACTAGCTGTAGAGGTACCTGCTGAGGGCAATGCCCGTCGATTGCAGTCACCCCAGGCACCCGTTAATGGTACCTGTCGTGATGTTGGTGTAGTACCTTTATGATGACCCGGATGAGATCATCAAAGTTAATCTCATCCCGGCAATAGTTGTGATGTATTGAATATAGTTTGCCATCTTGAAGCTGCTCGGAGTCATCTTTGACAAGCTGTTGAGCATCATCACGTAGGTATATCTCCTGAGGAGATTCTCCTCCAAAGAATCGTTACTATCCTCATCATCATCACTTCCATTCTCCTCTAACTCAGTTTCATCTAGTTCACACCTATCGAGTACCATAATTATCTCTACACATCCACACTCACCCTACCCCTCAGGTGCCTCTATAACAATGGCCAACCTGTTGAATACGAAGACATCAGTATCACTCAATGGTGTGAGGGTGGCCAAAGTATCAGCCAGTTGCATCCTGACTTGGTCTGGCTTTGTCAGATCTGTTGTTGCCCAAGGAAATGACCGTGTCGTTATTGCAGTAATCTGATCTAATATCTATGTTTGTGTCCCCATTTGTGTTATTTCACTTCCTTTGGTATCTTAGCTAAGACATCGCACAAGCTGCGCTAGTCGTTGAGGATATGAGAACAGTTGTAAGATAGTTGTGGATACTTATTTTCTCTATTTAATCTACTTGTGTTGAGAGGGCTGGAACGCCTACGCACACCGAGACTGAGGACAACGACATGGTACTGGAACCGAGCTCGAGTGATGTGGAGGTATCCGGCTCATCTGGTTCTACTCTTGCAGCTGAGCATGTGAGGGCTTTACAAGCTGCAAAAGAGTTGATTATTTCGTGGTTTGGTACTCCTATGATGGTTGATGATGTTCTGGAACATTGTCGTGATGCGTTAAATGGTATACCTAATATTAATGTTGACCTTTTGAATGAGGCTGTTTCGGGTATCTTGTGGACTAGTGATCCACATGAGAACAAAGTTGCAATGAAGTTGCAAGCTTTTGGTCAGTGGTGTCAGATGAGCGGTGATAGACGGTCGCAGACACCGATACGACGACGCTTACTTGGAGACTTTTATAGTCCTTTTTGTCAGTACAAGCAAGTATTGACGAAGTATGGTAATACCCTGCAGAAGCGCTTAGATCAAGTAGGGTTTGAAGGAGTTGATTGTGATGTTGACCCAATAGTTATACAGTACCCAAGCAAGAAGACGCCAGTTGTTCTTCATCAACCAGAGCGAGATTTGAATGATGACTCGGTTGGCATCAAGAAGGAGATGGTATCTACTAGTAGTCACTCCCTTAGAAGATCAGTTCTTACCTCTTCTGAGATTCAGGTCGGTGATGATGGCTTGGAATCTCTTGGTTTGAATAATCCAGATGTTCTTCTTGTGACAACTTTCAATCGTAAGGATATTACTGAGGGTCGGCGCCTAGCTCAGGGCATTACTCCGATTGTATATTCGGGTACAGGAGATGCTCTACCATATGTGGTGTTCAAACGACGTTTTGATTTATTGTGTAGACAAAACGGTTTGATAGGTGACCCTGTGTCGGTTTATTATTTACTTCTTCGATGTTTGTCGCCTGCCTTGATTGTTACCCTGAATCCGTCTGTTGTTGGCCTTGGTGATGCCAAAGACTGGATTAGAGAGATTGGTCGTCTGTTTTCTTCATTATCGTTATCGTGCTCTGGTGTGAGCGATGATGTGGCCAGGTTGGGTGCGAATCAGTCATTTGCTAATATATCTCAGAATCCCAATGAAACGGTGTCTGATTTTATCATCCGTTTTTCGAATGCGTCTTCGGA